GATAATTAGAAACTTTGAAGGTGAAGCAGCAGATTTGGTCGTCTGTGATGGAGCACCTGATGGTAATTATGCATTTATCATTTTGTTATAATTATTTATATACATTAGTAATTATTATCTTGTTATATTATGTAGTACACTCAGTACTGCAGTGATGAAAATTAACACTCACCCATTCGCCCAAGATGAATAAAAAGTAATGCGGGGCAGCGTGAGAAACTATATAGCTGTCGCCCAGTCGCCAGTGGCGATTAGAAAATCTACCGGGCGACTGCTTGCTTGTGTCAGCTGGTCCGGCGGGGCGACTACATAATCGCTGCACAGCAGCGAAAAAAATACAGACTTGTAAACGGGAGCGCATAATACGACCCGTTCCTCAACGTAGACGGGGTATCCAAACCTTCTAGAGCTGCATGAACTCCCTCAACGCATGATTCGCCACACGAACAAAAATTCGCGACGGTCTAAGAAATCGATTGCGGCCGGCGGCAGTGTTTTTTTGACGGCATAACAATAAGTTTTTATATCGCAGGTGTTATCGTGGGGAGTGAGGGCACGACCAGTGACACCTGACACGCACGTAATCAAAGCTGTTAACTGAATTCGTCACTTTTCATGTGGACTATTGGAAAATGGAATGTGAAAGTGGACTATTTTTATTCAGTTAATTAGATATCTAGAAGCAATGTAAACTGTACATGTATATACTTAAAGATTCTAGGCACTTGTAACTTTGCGGATGTGCGGCAGCATTGATCTATGCATGGGGGTACCGTGTACTAGGGAGGAGAAAAACGAAAGTAAAACCTTGCCCAGAAGCTCCCGGCATTCCTAGAGATTCCAGTACAAGTTTTTTTTAACATACTCAAAGTAACTAAAAACTATGTGTACTGTGTAGTGCATGTCTGTCTGTGTGAATTAAATTGAATAAGAATGTGAATGGTTTACTTAGTCGAGTGAAATGAGATAAAAAAAATGTGATCGAATGTAATTTGTTGACGATTTCTTAACACTGATAGTCTGATACTGGTGCTGAGTGCTGAATGCTGATGAATGATATTAGAGTCAATGCATCAAAATTATGAAAATTTTAACAAAATCATGGTATGAAAAAGTAGCTCTGGCCAAGCCTAAAATAGCTCCCGTAAAAAAAATTACGAGAGCTTTTTTTATGCCGTCGGTGCCGTCGGTTAATTCGAGCCCTGGGTGTGACTGTCAAGTGTTTACCATTTAAGCATGCATGTGTGAACTGTACTGTATTGCATTCAATCAAGCGTGCGCCGCCGCCCGCGCATATATACGTGTGTGCCTGTGCGCGTGCCGGTGTGCCTGCGGGCGTGCTTGCGTGTGTGCCTGCGTGCGTGCGTGCGTGCGTGCGTGCCTGTGTGTGCCGGTGTGCCTGCGGGCGTGCCTGCGTGTGTGCCTGCGCGCGTGCATGTGTGCGGGTGCGTGTGTGCCTGCGCGCGTGCCTGCATGCGTACGTGCGGGTGTGCCTGCGGGCGTGCCTACGTAGACCCGTAATCTAGAACGGAATCTAGACTCTAATCTAGAAATATGGATTATAGAACGGTAATCCATGGAAAATCCTAATGAAATTCACACGTATATTTTTCCCTGCCGGCACACTCGTGTGTCATTTCCTGTAAAATTATATTTTCGGGTTTTCCGCATTCTGGTTAACTTCTCTTCCCGAATAACGAAATATTTTTCTAGTATTTTTAGTTTTTAGTATTTTTTCAGATATTTTAAGTAGACTAATCCCCCATTGCGATAATAACCATTTGGCTTTCCTCTGTTTGTTTTTTTTCTGGTTTTCTGGTATTGATTCTGAAACAGGGTTCCGTGGCCCCCGATGCCCCCCTTCCCTCTGAATCCGACAATCTGGCCACCTCAGACTCATCAAGCCCCTATGCCACTGTGATATATGTGATTTCCTGTGATATATCCACTGTATATCCTGTGTTTCCAATAACACAACTATTTTCGACTCTAGGGTTTTAAATGATTGCTTTTGAGACCAATCAATTATTGGCATGCAGACAACCACATGGCGTCCACTCCCGAATTGGAATGTTGCGTTATAAATTTTACTTGAAATGGGTGAGCTGCTTGGGTTGTTATAAATAATGATTTGCTTGTACATTAATTATTGCTTGCAGTCGGAGCATCTAGACAGCTGCAAGAGAGGATGCCGTCTGTTTGCGATCTCAGGTTTCATGAGTACGTCCAACGATCTCAACGACACCAAAGAATTATGTCTGCATTGTAAGTGAACCTTAACGAGAGAAAAAAATAATATTCAAAATGAGAATTAAATGGTTAAGCAAAATTCAATTCTATGGATGCATGTTCCAGTCATTTCCTGTGTTGCATGTTCAGCTACGTCATGATACCTAAGGTACCCAATTCTTTAACTGCACTTTATCCATATACGAAGCACGTACACCCTTTGGTTTTTACAGCATGTAGCGAGGCATATGTGAATGACACTCAATATGCCTGTGGCGTGGGATGCACCAGTCAGCTTCCTTTTGCAAAGAAACGACAGGAAAAGGTATTGACATTATTTAATCATATCACTAATTCTTATAAATCATATCTACATAAGATTAAATACGAAAAAAATGCCCATGTCAGTCTGTGCAATGCAGTATTAATAATTGCTGTTATCAACTGTTGGGGAAACCGTGTTGTACAGAGTTTTTAGCTCATCTTGTAGAATCGCATGAATGTGCGTCCGTCCGTGCGTCAACACTTGTTTTGATTTAGTTGATGATGGAAGATCAGCACATACACGTGCTCAGCCCTCTTGTTTACATACAAAGCTACTACTCGGACATGATGGACTTAATATCTAAGGTAATGGCAGATGTGACTAGAATAACTGAAAGAATCTACTTCAACAAAACTTCACTTACTGAATTGCATCATGTGCTATCCTCGTGTGTGAGGTCAGAAGTGGCATATGCTAAAGATGCACACTTTTCAATCACAATTCAGTAGGTGAAGTTTTGTTGAAGTAGATTCTGTTTCCAGAGTACATGTAGACATTACTTGTGTGATCGTAAATTACGGTATGATATACCTGAGTTGGTTGGCATCCAAACTTAACACTTACGTTCCATAGTTTAACTAGACTTTGCATGAAATGTGTAGTATATTTATAAGATTATGTCTCAGGTTGTAATATTGGTGATATAATGATTTAACCTCAACCGTTGCAGTTTCAAAGTCAAAAAAATAAAAAGTAAACGTTTGGTTCATTTAGGTATTTCTGTTCTGCGGATATGTGTAGAGAGTGTGCGTATGTATAGAGTGTGTGGGTGTGGGTATTTATGTTCTGTGGGTATGTGTAGAGAGTGTGCGTATGTATAGAGTGTGTGGGTGTGGGTATTTATGTTCTGTGGGTATGTGTAGAGAGTGTGCGTATGTATAGAGTGTGTGGGTGTGGGTATTTATGTTCTGTGGGTATGTGTAGAGAGTGGCGTTATATATATAGGAGTGCAGGGTTTCCCCCGAGGATGAAACGAAATTCTAAACAGGGAGGAGGGGAGGGGGGAGGGGGAAACGATGGGGGGTCCGGGGGCGTGTATTTTACGACCCACTACTTAATGCGTAATAACGCCACCACACATAGACGGTATTTGTGGTTCTTGTTATATAAGAAGCCGAGTTCGGTGTACGGTGTAGTGTTGGGTTCGGGACAGGTTATCTCTTTGGTACTTGTGTATTTGTCAGGTGCATGCGGGTTTCGGTAAAGTAAAAATTACACTGCGCCGTGGTGTCCTTGGTCGAGATGGGAATCTTGATTGATCGATTCCCGCTGGCAAACTTTTATTGGTGGTGGATAATATTTAAATCGGGGGCGGAGGTAATTTTATCGGGGGCGCAACAGATTGAAACAGGGGAGAGTTTTCCCTAAACTGGGCGCGCGCGCCCCGTTGCGCAACGTAGGGAAGGAACCCTGGAGTGTGTGGTATGTATGATTAAGTGTGGGGTATGTATGATAGAGTGTGTGGGTATTTCTGTTCTGTGGTATGCTGTGTATAGAGCATTCTCTGCGTCGTGTCTCAGGGCGTGGCTTCGATGAGCTGGTCCTGCATCCGTATACGTACAGCAGGACGACGGGAGGATTGTCATCGTACAGGTTCAACCTGAATTCAGTTTCGACGAGTACAAGGATTCACTAGGCTACGACAACTACGGTTAGTAGTACAGTCTGTACGCGGTAAAGTCAGTTAGGCTAACGCTCCATTAGGAGTGTTCCCAACGTTTGAGTATCCATTTAAATGATTAAAATGATTGATTAATCCTGACCCGTAACATAAAAAAAAAGCCTTTAAAAAATATATAATAATAAAATCCCTAACCCTAAAGCGCCTTAACTAAACCTAAATGACATTAAACCACAAACTAATATATGACCATGACCATATATATATATATCAAGAGTAGATAATAGGAGATTATCCATTAATGACATTAAAGTTGGGAACACTCCTAATGGAGTATCACCTGTCAGTTAGGTGGGAGTAGGATTTTTCAGTAACGCGCGAAAACAGTTCTTCTCGTACGATTGAGACCGACTTGCATGCATGGATCAGTCAAAGCAAACTCACATGCTGTCATTTTTGTATGTTGGAGCTACTGTAAGTTGTAACTCATCGTTTAAATATATCTATCAAATTTATCTATAGGGTGAAGCAAATTCTGTGATAGCAAATCCACACATGGTGCAATATTGATTTTCCAGCATGTGCCATCATGTTGTTTCAGAATTGTAGATCGTACGTACATTGACACCTGTACCCAATCTCCCAGCCTATATACTACACTAGTTTGCATCGCAAATTATACATCCAGGAATATGTATACAGGGTTCGAAATTAACGGCAGCAAGCAGCTGTTTTGCTACGAATAATAATGAGTTTGCTGCCTGCTCTCAACATCGGCAGCGAATACTTGCTAATAATTCTTGATAAACCATAGTAAAACCTCTATAGATTTAGCCTGGATGAGTAAATTTGCTGCCTGTCTATTTCTCTGGCAAAGAAGTTGTTTTCTAACCACGAATATAGCTTGAATATACCTTCAGTACTAGGACTTTCTTTAAAGGTAGCTTCCCTCGAACTTTCCACGTAAATTTGTGTAAAAACCACTGTAAAACCGTCAGTAAATAACTCGCTTTTAACTGAATCGTTAGCTTTGAAATAAGACGTATCAAATATTCGTATCAAGACTATATTTGCTCATTCGAAGAAACAACTCGAAAGAACGCTTTTGCCCGCGGTTACCGTAAGGCGCCAAATTTTTATGATTTGAGCAAACGCATCATTGTCAATTGAGTCAATGTAGCCACCTTTCAGATATAATAACTTAATATAAATTATGTTTTATGAAATCCAAACTTTGTAGTCTAGACAGAGATGCACTCTGACTGTTATGTTATTAATTTTAGAATTTTTACCATAACCGTTTTCGATGAGAAGAACGTGCCTAAAAACCCAACAAAACCTGAAACAGGACTCTTCGACTCGCTCGCTCAGATAGTCACTCTAAAATTAGATCTCTCCAGCGAATAAAAGACGTGCGCTTTCGCCGCTCTATCAGCTAGCCATGTACGTGACCAGCAACCATTGGAATCATATAAACCTAAACCTGCTCAGTGTGTATATATTTTAACATAGCATGTAGGGAACGCTAGCTTGTATGTTATAAGTTATAGTATAAAATAATCAGGAAAGGACATATAGAATTTGGTGTTCAATTAAAGAATATATTGTTACAACCATAACAGTCACCATCTTGCGTCGTTCCCGTCCTTGTCCTGTTCCCAACCGGTCAGTTCCGAACCGTTGCCAAACCGGTCCAGTTCCGACCCTCTTTAAAATCCTCTAAAAGTCTTATATATCACTCTCCTTATCCAATCACTGCCAGACTCTACTCTACCTACAAATCACACAGTCACCTAACACTCTGCTAATTCAAATGAGAGCGCACTGCAACACCACATCTACCCCAGATGTGTAACGTCATCGCTAGTCCAACCTAGCTATTTCTCAATACTAATACTGCTAAACGCCGAAACTCCGCTTCTATGTACATACTAAAATCTCATCTTACAATTACTAATTGCCAATGACCATGTCAAAACACATGTTATGCAGCATGGTTCATTCACATACATAACACGGCGCAATGTGCGAGCGGACACAATCGCCGCATTAGTGGCAGACGGTAAACGCGTTTGAAACATTCGACCCAAACGTTTCACTTTGTAGTCTAGAAAGCTTTGAATGAAACGTATTTCCTGAACAATTTTTTTTGCTCCTATTGCACATATATAGGCAAAGTAGAGAGCGTGCAATTGTTAAATAATTATTTTGCTTTGATTTATATGTTACTCGCTTGAAAGTTGAGGGAATATCTCATTAAGTGTCATAAAGGGGCCTCCCAAATTTTGAATACACATTATTATCAGCACTGCTGGAATTATTTAAGCAACACGGAGAGAATGTTTACGTATTGACTGTCTCTGTCAGAACTATCAAGTCGCTTGCATTATTTTGCAGTAGACAAAGAGAACACGACTGGAGGCTATGCAGACTGGGGACAATGAAGATGGCCTATGAGGAAACTGATACTTGCCTCCGCCATAGTGACACCCGATTGATGGTAATTAGAAGCCCAAGTCGCATCGCGCGACTGGCTGAGTAAGTCACTCTTAACCGTATTCTCAATCTCTGATCTAGTCTTGGATCTTCGTTGCGGCGATCGGCCCAATCGAAATGTACGCGTGAGGGGACCAGACTATGGAAGCATCCCTGAGCTTTCCCCCATATTACCAGAGCCCCTGCAGCCCGGGAGACTTTTAGGCTTTCAAATCCCATCCGTGCCAAGTCCTTGTGTCTGCAGTGACTAGGCCGAGGTGTAAGTGTAGTGACCAAGAAGAAGAAGAACAACTGTATTTCTGATGTCACATGCTGCGGTGAATGCTTCATGGTGATCGCTGCGGCGAATGCTGCGTGTGCTTCGAACCTCTCTCCTGCAGTTTGAGTTCTTAGGAGTTGACCATCAAGTATCCCATGATAATAAGAAAACCCACTCGTGGTCAATCAGGATTCAAATGCCGAGTGAATTTCTGCAAAGCGTGTTTCGATGCGATGCGTAATTGGGTCGATCGTATATCGTAATCGTATATCGTAGATCGTATATGTAATTGGTGCGTACTTGGTCTGCATATTTCGTAGGTTGTGTGTCCAAGAAGATGGGACTGCCGCACTGGCTGCTGGTTGGCACAGTGTTCCTATCCGCACTGGTTTTTGTCTTCATATGTCTCACAACGGCCGCCACTACCGCCGGATGTACAACAGAATGAAGGCTGCGTAGGTACAGTGCGAGAGGAGAGCAGAGAGAGAGAGAGAGAGAACGAGAGAGAGATCGAGATAGAGAGAGAGAGAGAGAAAGAGGAGGGAGAGAAGAGAAGAGACGAGAGAGCGAGATAGAGAGAGAGATGAAGAGAAGAGAGAAGAGAGAAGAGGTGTGGAGAGAGCGAGCGATGCGAGAGAAGAGAGAGAGAGAGAGAGCAGAGAGAGTAGAGAGAGAGAGAGAGAGAGAGGAGGAGGGAGGGAGGGCAGGGAGGGAGAGAGAGAGAGAGAGAGGACGAGAGAGAGAGTAGAGAGAGAGAGAGAGAGAGAGAGGAGAGAGCAGAGAAGAGGAAGGAGAGAGAAGAGAGAGAGAGAGAGAGAGAGAGAGAGAGTAGAGAGAGAGAGAGAGAGAGAGAGAGAGAGAAGAGAGAGAGAGGTGAGAGAGAGAGAGAGAGAGAAGAGAGAGAGAAGAGAGGAAGAGAGAGAGGAGAGAGAGAGAAGAGAGAGGAGAGAGAGAGATGAGAGAGAGAGAGAGAGAGAGAGAGAGAGACGAAGAGAGAGAGAGAGAGAGAGAGAGAGAGAGAGAGTAAGGAGATGACGATGTAATGACAGACTGACAGCCATGAACGGATGGCAGAGGATAGCGGAACAGACGTCTATTGACGAAGTAGACTTGGTCAGAAGCAGTGGATAAATGGAATTGGCAAATGAATAGATATGAACGTACAGACATGATCGACACAGATGCGAAAGACAGCCAATTTAAAAAAAGTTCTAAGCATAGCGGTAAAGGCGTCGATGTAAGTCATTTATTTCTTTTAAACTTAAATTAACTACGTCACGAATTTTCTATGGTAAAATTTGTAAAATTTTTGTTGCCATTTTTTTACAACTAGTTAAAAATCCAAAAAGCCTGGACGATTTGATATTATGTTCCTGTCATTAATTGCTTGCTATGGGCTATGTATGAGTCACGAGTGTATGTTCACATCGAACAATATAGTAAAATAGGAAGTAATTTAACCATAAAAAGTGAACAAAATTACTTATATTTTGTGAAAAAGTGGAAATAGTTTTGTTATTTTTACTATTTACGGTGACGTAATCCCTTTAACATGTTTCTTGCAGTCATTGAGCATTAACGGAGACATGGAGCGCATGCAGAAGTTGTACGATGGCAAAGACCTTATTTGGATTCAACCCGACTGTGAAGCAGGCCCTCTGCCAATCAAACTGAAGGAAGAGAAGATATAAGGCAACAGCGAGTTGTGCGGCGTGGGTATCATTGATTTTGGGCCGAGGTACCTAGAAAAATAACACCCAAATTTGTGATTGCATAACGGACCTTAATTGAGACACATACCCTACAGCAATAATCTAGAAAAAACGAAATTCCTAGACCAGTTCCCCCCATATAACTAAATCAGCGATGACCCAATTGGAGACTGCCAGTGTGCACAAGTACAGCGATGAAGTTGACGGAATATTTGCGTTTAATATGGGGAGTAATGTTTACGAAAGAATTCTGTTATGATTAATTTTTCAGACAACTACAGCTAAACTAAGCAGAAACTTCGCGGGGAGTATTAAGTTGCCTCAATGTTTGTCTGAAGTTAAATGGGATAACATGGATATTTTGCAGTTGTTTTACCAATGATTTTTCACATATATGCAAGTAGAATGATATCAACCCCAAATACTGATTCATTTAACAAATTTACAACTTTCGCGATGCAATGCTTGAAAATAATTTTTACTGATGCCCTTTGTGCTAGTACTTTGGTGAACATTAAATAGCAGCAGATTCCTGCATGTAGAATTTTCTGTGTGCACCCCATGAATGTTAAGAGAAGGCCTTTATCACTAGAAATTAGAATGGACCATGCAACTAGTGGTTTTATGGTTTTGGAAATGTTTTAATGTTTAATGTTTAAAATAGGTTCATTACTGTTTTCCGCTTACTGTTGAGTTTGTCATTGGTCGCTCTCCCCACTGAGTCTTTATCTCTCTATCTTTCTCACATACACACTCTTTCTCTTGATCTCTCTTCCCCTCTCTTTCACGTGCTTTATTATGTCACTCTGACTCCGTCTCTCTAGACCATTGTAGACATTTCTAGAGAGGAGGTATATGTGTTCCTTTTTAACACTGAATTGGCTACTTTTGTTTCTGTACTTGAAATTCCTTTCAGAATCATATCATGGCATAACCTTGCCCGTTTTTCCATGGTTCGGTCGTCATTTTATCGGCATCAGTGCTATTATGCCTTTGCTTATCAACACTATAACTTGTATCTCTTATCCGCTATACTATGTGATTAAAATATTATTAGCGTAATATTGCGTGGCTTTCTTTTTCAAATCGGTTAAATTTTGGATGAGATATATTGTATCCGGTGTGCGTGTGGAATGTATGTGTGAATGCGTCGCTGTAGAACTTATATGAGGACTATCACACTTTATTGTTTTTTGGGGGGAACCTAACATTTCATTCCTTGTGGTGACGTGATGACATCACGTATTTCGTCTACGCGGCTGTGTATAGAAATTGCGAATTGGGGAAAAACGTAATTGTTAGTAGCTCTCTTTTGTGGTCTGCATTTCCAGAGCAATGCGGACATGTCCAAATCCAGGCAAAATGGTGTATGTATATAATTAACAGACGGTGAAAGAAGTAGGTTGCACAAATTGTATACTGTTGAGTATGTGCATATTGTACGTGTGGTGGAGGAAAGTGTGTATATGTGACCATGTTATAGGATTGGGAAGCAAAACGAGAAGGTTATATGAATGCTTTCGCACCTTGTAATTAAGGTAAGATCAGTTGACGAAGAATAATTTATTGATTTATTGGGTTACAAATAAAGCAGAGTTCCTCAGTTATGTGGTATTCTGTTAGAGAATAACACTGTTTGCCAGGCATAAATGATCGGTCTGGCGACAAAGGTAATTTTAAGGAACTATAAGAAATTTGTGATATAATCAACCATTTTAATTATAATACAATAAAATGTTGCTTTCACTGGCCATTTGGTTATAAACGAGGTAGAACTAAATTGGGAGATCAGGGGCGTGTACAGGGGGGGGGGGGTCCAGAGGGTCCGCCCCCCTCCCCTGCTCGCGCAGAAACAGCGGGTCTAACTTCTAATAAACATTTCCGGGTGCAGGCCCCCAGACCCCCCACTTCGGTCATTGCAAGTGTGGTTACGGTTGACCCGCCCCCCCCTTTGTCCCAAATCCTGTACACACCCCTGGACGATATAGACCCCCCCCCCCCCCCCCCCCCCCACCCTATATCCCCACCGGTTTTAATGTGATTGATTGACATAACAACTTACCGAGATTACTCAAAATAGTTCCCGAGTTTTCATAGCTACTTTGCTAGCACTCAAAGAAATCGGGCGGGGCGGGGGCGGGGCATGATATCGCAAGCCTATATTGACCTGAACCCAAGTCTATTAAGTTAAGTAAACCGTTCGTCTCTCCAAGTTTGTTCAAGCTGATAATATGCATCACGTGTATGATTTCCGTGATTTTTGCTCTAATTTCATCTTTTTTGATGATCTCTAATGTATAACATGAATACTTTGCTCAGCAGTCAATTTGTATAATTGCAGTTAAATCTGTCAATCTTCAAATTAGGAATAACGACTGGGTAAACTTATTATTGACCCGTATGAAGTAGGTCCCTCACTATTCTCCGTGTGTTTGTGTCATATGCTTGTGTGTTTTGATGCTTATGAATCTCTATTAAAATCATCAATCGTTGTTTCGTACAGCACGCTTTTCTTACCTGTTCAGACTTAGCATCACACAGACTGGTAACTAAAATTTATACTAGACGGACAACGTCATTGATCAGGATCACTGATCATCCTGATACCTGGCAAGATGCGTGGGACGCAGAAGTAACACGATACACGAGCTGATATCAGGCGCCGTAGCTATGTAACTTTATGCCTTATATATTAGAGGGGGAATGGGGGCGGGGGGGGTACATTCCCACCTTTCCGAGCCAAAAAAACACCCACTCCCGAGTTCCCCAGTAAAAATAAAATCCATTCCCAATTCCTCAGGTAAATTTATGTAGACATGTTCAGAAATTCAGTAAGTTTTAGGTTTTCAAACACACTACATAAATAGCTCTCATATTTACATACTAGTTGATATATCTGCAGTAATAATACAAAAGCAAAAATAACAAATAAATAATAAATAAAGTAGTTAGCGCAGAAAATTGGAAATTCGTACGAATTGATCACAATTCTCTCCAGATCGCCCCAGACAATTTTTAGAGTGGGGTCCTTTTCCCACGTTCTCCGATGGACTTTCTGTTCCGAATCAACGGAAAATTTATCCTGATATTTTCCCAGTGTCCAGCTAATTAAAATGGCCCAATCCGCGGCGTCCCGAAAATACGCCGTCCGCCCCCTCGTTATATGTTAGACGGGAGCTACAATCCCTTCAACAACCCCATTCCCCACACACGTGGAAGTGAAATTATGAAGCATTTTTATGTTGGCGTTTGCGGCTAGCGTCAGCACAAAGAATAATTTGTAGGATCTAAATGAAATGTATATTTCATATAAAGGAGTAGCTAACTGATTTTGCGTTGGAGTGCTGAAGCAGCGATGTTGCAGTAAGATTGGCAGTTACGCAAGGCCGCGGGTAACAGCCTAACTATGGACTAGCTATGACCCGATGTATAAATTTTGTTGAGATTTACACGCAGTAATATAACACATATGCACAGGGGTAGTTCGATAATAAACAAAAATTGAGCAGCCCAAGGACCAACCAATAATCAGAATACACACACGAACCACGAGCGCGCATGCAGACGCCTGCACGCCGTGGACACTGTACCACAGCACGTACGCACACACGCACGCACACAACGAGCATACGCATGCACGCGCACACCAGCGTTCTATACTAGTATATTATTTTTATGGTAGGCATGTAAGTGAACAAAACCGTGATGTAGCTAATTAATTACCACTTAAACGATAATTAATTTGCGGAGCTGACCAATCATAAGCGCGGGAAAAAATATGGACGTACAGGCAACCACCATCGAAAAAGATTTTACGTAAGCATAAACGCGTGACGCGTCCAATATGGCACTCCCATGGATACTTTCTGAATGTATTACAAAGTTATCATTGCAGAATTATAACCTTACTCTGCCTGATTAGAAAACATAAAAATGGGACGATCGGGTCGAAAGATAACGAGACGTTTACTACGTTTGGCAAAAGAAGAAGGTTGGAGAGCCCGAAGTGCGTTTAAGCTTCTGCAAATAATATGACGATACTGCATTATATTAATTGGTAGGTAGGCCTATCGCTGGCTTCACTGTCGTCGACTCGAGCAGCTGGCGCAGCGAATAAAGTCGCCTCCCACCCAACACTCACACGCAGTATCACAAACACACACAGTGTACGCGACACACTACACAACACACACACACACAGCACACACACACACACACACACCACACCACAGGCGGCAACACAATCACACCGCGCACACACACAGTGAGCCACACACACAAATCACAGTCACATGGCCAGCACTTGAACGTCTCAGAGCAAATGTAAAAATTAATTCTTTATGGTAAATAAACCGACTAAAATGTGTTACTGAGCAAAGGGTCTGAAGTTTTTACTACTCTAATTTGCGCTATTGATGTGCGATATTACCCATAAATCGCGGTCAATCATCGCCTATCTGCAACACACATGAAAGTACGACCGCACGCACGTACGTTACGGATGTTACGACTTACGTGGGTACGTTAAAAACAAATCGAGTAGCGATTTCTGGATTGATACTCGCCATTTACCAAAATCTAAGGAAGTGGAAATAATTTTGCCTGCATGATTTCACGCCGAGAATGTCTCTGGCTGGAGTAGGTAAGAACAAAGAGCAGAGTTATAATTCGACACAAGTGAGACATTTAGCTACTACATAGATGACCAGGTACGCAAGATGGGCTGTTTGGAATTGTGTGTTTCGTTTTGTGATTATGTGAAATGAAGCGAGCGTCGAGCAATTTGCGATTTACCTTAAATTGTCCTACCTAGGCTGCTCCCTTTATCTTGTTGCTTGAGTGGCACAGGGCGTGCGTGGCGGTGTACTATGTGTGTTGGAGATGAGTAATTTGATCAGCATTACAGGTAATTATCGCAATAAAAGAACAAATAAAGTAGAGAAACATTAACGACTTGTATAAAATGACATTCGTGTTTATATTTACTTTTTTTTTGTTATTGAGACGTTCACAAGTGGCCGTGCACACACACCACACGGCCAGGGCACACATCTCAGCAACACACACAGCACCACACCACACACACACACAGCACACACCACACACACACTTTCTCCTCTCCTCCTCTCATCTCTCTCTCTCATCTCGTCTCTGCTCGTCTCGTCTCTCTCTCTTCTCGCTCCTCTCTCTCTCTCTTCCTCCTCTCTCCTCCTCTCTCTCTCTCTTCTCTTCTCTCATTCTCTCTTCTCTCATCTCTCTCTCTGCTGCGGGGCCGGGGGGAGCCCGGGCCGGGGGGCGTCTCTCTCTCTTGGTCGTGTCTGCTGCGATCTCTCTGCTCTCTCTCTCGTGCTCTCGTCGTGTCGTGCGGTCCCTCTTGTGTCGGGTCTGCCTCTCGGTCGGCTTTCTCTCTTCAGTCACGACACAGGGGGGGGGGGGGGGGCACAGGGGGGAGTCGGCACACAGCACAAGCACATGCACACGGGCCACGCTGGTGTGGCACACACACACAGCTGCACATCTCTCTCTCTCATCCTCCTCTCCTTCTCTCCTCTCTCTCTCCCTCTATCTTCTCTCCTCGGCTCTTTCTGACCTCTCTTTCTCTCTCGAAGAACACAGGTGTGTTTCTCTGGCTTACTCCTCTTTCTTCTCTCTCTTGCTTCATCTCTTTCATCATTCTCCCGCGTGCCACTCTCTCTCCTCTCAAGTCCTCCGTCTCTCTATGGCTCTCTCTCACACACACACATCACACAACACACGCAAGACTGAACGACACACGCACAAACACACACATTCAACACATCACACACACCAACACTCACACACATACAAACACACATACACACACAAAAGACGGAGACACTCACACGATTCCCCCGACACAACACACACACCAGACACACACACGGACACAACACATACAAACACCAGTACACACACCACCCACCACACACTCAGCACACACCCGGGTCACACACACAACCACACACGACACACAGCACACACACAGCAAACACACAGGCACACCAACGACACACAACACCAAGGGAGAGATAGCCGGGCAAGCGCTTGTATGGCGACTGAATTGATCTATGACATGGCTTCCTAACCCTCAGCAAGACAGATTTCTCTACTTGGAGAGCTAAGGGAAAGACGAGAGAGAACGAGAGCAGAGCACGAGAGAGAGGGAGAGAGAGAACAGAGAGGAGAAGACAGAGAGCACGAGAGAGACGAGACAGGAGAGCGAGAGACAGAGACAGAGACAGCAGAGCAAGGACAGAGAAGAGAAGAACCGCAGGAGAGGAGTACAAGAGCAGCAGAGACAGCAGGGCAGGGAGGCGAGAGAGCGAGAGAGAGAGAGAGAGAGAGAGGGACGCACACACACACGCCTTCAGTAAGCTAACAAAAAACAATGTTTATGGCAATATTTCTTCATTATCCAAGGGACGGCAACGAAGAAGGAGAGAGTGTAACGTTAATCAAATGGTCAGATAAATAAGTACTGTAAACACATAAAAAAATTATTTTGTCAGAGCGTAAAGATCAGAATTCCATTAACGGTTTAGAAGGATGAGAAGATAAGGTGAAAGCAGTGCTTATTTCGAATCCCATTTATTTCCTTATATTTAAAACACTGAAGGCTTTGATCCAACAAACACGTACATGAATCATTTCCACCTAGGGGCCAATGGTGATTAAGTATTGGAAGATGGATTGTAGTTGAGCTAAATTTCAAAATACAAATGTCTGCATATGTTTTCAGGTGTGAAGAAGTTGTTGATCTCTGTGCAGCTCCTGGTAGCTGGAGCCAGGTACTATCTCGAAAACTAAGGTATGTGTTAGCACCATGCATGTAATCTAGAACATGTAAAGTATGATATCACGTTAAAATTACAAAATATATTGTTTCTGGCTGTACTGTTCACACTAAACAATCTTTAACTAAGTGGCTACACACATGCTCGATCTTCATATTTCAGAAATATATTTACTTGATTTATATGGATAACTAATTCCTATTATTGCAATTATTGTTGCAGCATCAGGGGCAGAACAATGTTGCTGTGTGTTTCTTTTCTCGTTGCAATTTCTCGTGACAGAAAAGTAATGTTTACAGTTGTTTGGCCCAAGAAAAAAAATAACTGATCCCATGATAGTGGTTGTTATCTGTTTTACCACTTATTGTGTTTCAGAGAAGCACATGACGAAAAATGTGAAGATTTGTTGCTGTTGATCTACAAGCCATGGCACCTATTAGTGGGGTTATCAAATCCAAGTGACATCACAAAGGTGACGATGACTTCCACACATTCATGCACCCAACCACGTACAACCGAGACGACACACCACATGCAAAATATATAGAGACAGTGAGACACACACAAAGATGAACTGTGCAGCAGATGAAAGCATGCAAACATGCCTGTACACACAAGTGTGCACGCACACACCCACACACATAACGAGTATGCCGGTTACGGACACCACACACACACAATTTGCACCACACACACACACACACACACACACACACACACACACACACACACACACACACACACACACACACACACACACAACTATGTGCATGTGTATGTAATGTCGTGTTGAACTAATGTACCAAAAAGATACACAGAAAATAATTGTCAATTTTGGCGTGTTGTTGCTTATATTCATTTGTCAATGACAGAACATAAATGTTCTTTCTGTAAGTTTGAGTGGGGTGCATGCATGTGTAACATACGTGAATGTGCGTGCTTGTGTAATATGCGTAAATGCATGTACATGGAAATGCCAGGACATTCCATACACTTCCTTTTTTGTTATAGGAGTTCACAGCGCAAGAGATAATTAGAAACTTTGAAGGTGAAGCAGCAGATTTGGTCGTCTGTGATGGAGCACCTGATGGTAATTATGCATTTATCATTTTGTTATAATTATATATATACATTAGTTAATTATTATCTTGTTATATTATGTAGTACACTCAGTACTGCAGTGATGAAAATTAACACTCGTCCATTCGCCCAAGATGAATAAAAAATAATGCTGGGCCCCAGAATTTTTACCAGAAAGTAAAAAGATATATAAATGCATTAAACTTTTGTTACAGTGACCGGCCTTCATGATGTGGATGAGTACATACAGGCACAGCTGCTATTGGCTGTAAGTATCATGTGAATAACTGCAGATGGCAGTCCATATTTACTACGATACCCGTAGCTTGATAAATGTGTAACAGTACACAATTCTTTGGCTATGGACACTTGGCTTGTTAAGAATACAAAATTACGATGTGAAAAGACAAGTAACTAATTTCATATAAAAATTAAAGAGCGAATTACTTTCCCGTGTTTTCGTGTGATGATGGCTAAAATGTTGTCGTAATTATTGAGGATCGACAACACAATGACATGCTTGTTTATTTTACAATGCAGGCACTGAATATCACGACGCATGTGCTCAAGCGTGGAGGAACGTTCGTAGCAAAGGTATGTCGACGGTGTTAGAATGCACTAGCGATTACACTACAGTGTACACACCTTCACTATAGTGAAAAATCACTAGTAGCCACTGTTGTAGTTCTACTCGCGTAGCCCCTTCACTCTCGCCACAGGAGAATAAGCTCCTGTAGGGGAAGTTAAGGAGCTACACCGGGAGATCTACTATGGGTATAATTGTGATCCTCTGTTGTTCTAAGATTTTCCGATAGGTGGCAGAACCGTACAGTATTCTTTCATCTGCACATCTAAGTCAAAATTGCTTAGCATGCAAACAAGAATATAAATAGGCAGTTGCTTTAATTCGTGTGAATATTATGCTTATTCAAGTATCATCATTGATGGTTCCATCAATAAATTATCAACTACACAAAAATATCAAAGCAAAAATGTAAATCCCAATATTTTCATCTGTGAATCTCAAAAATTATCTTAATGTACAAATTCTACACAATATGTTAACTACTTCATTATCCGGCATCTCATGAACTGGCGAAATGGTGTCTGTTTCCATGCGGCCAAATATCTGCCAATACCATGCATGCAACTTTGTACGTTGTGCACGTGTACATGTACACATTTCACCTTGCATCTTTTTAAGTAACATTCATGGGTGTGTCAAGTGCTGAGGGTACGTTGATTTTGCTGTAGATCTTCAGAGGCAAAGATGTCACACTCTTATACTCACAGCTCAAGATCTTCTTTCCAAATGTGACAATCGCTAAACCAAGCAGTAGCAGAAACTCCAGCATAGGTAAATTCCATATAATATACATCAAATGTAGCCAGCAGTATATATAAACAATTGAAAGCAACTGTGTTTTGGCTACATGAATCATTCTCTTATGGACATAATTCCAATGTACTGTGTAACCATTAAACTTTGGTCTCAAATTTATAATTTTAATAATAATTTTTTAAATAAATTTAATAATTTAAACATAAATTTAGTGGTTATTGTTTGTGATTTCAGAGGCATTTGCTGTGTGTCAGAACTATTCACCACCAGATGGCTACGTTCCGAATATGTCCAACCCACTTCTTGATCATCATTACGGTAGGTAGACCAAGTCAGAAACATAATTTAAACAGGGGGAAATTGCATCACATGAGATATAGACTTAAAACTTAATGGTGGATTCATTTCAGCGTAGACTGGTACACTATCTGCCCTTGAGCATGCATTGTTCTATGCTTATCATCACAAATATCTCTACAGATTAATGGACATGTTCATGCTATCACATATGCTCACATTTCAGACATGGATTTCAATAGCCTGGAAGGAATAAACAGGGTGATAGTGCCATTTCTGGCCTGTGGAGATCTCAGTGCATACGACTCCGACATGACTTACCCTCTACAGGTAAGCATTTCTTAGCTGCACTGTTGATGTTAATTAATCGATATGACGAGCAGTTAATGCCCGAATTTAAAGTACGATAGTATATGATATTCCACAAGAAAATTAAATGGGGGGTGCTAGTCCAAAGTATATATCTAAATAGTAGAATAGTAAAATAAGTAGTAGAAATAGTAAATAGTAATCTAAATTCCATGGTGGGAAACCTCTTGATTGGTATTGAATAATACAAGCACCACATATAAAAATGATGCTATCGTATTTCTGATCCATAGCCAGATAAAATAATGGGAAGGTAATACTATATGATTACCATGATACTGATATAAAAGCAGTGCTGAAACCAGTGAAGTTATCACTGAGAGAGAAGGTGTTGTGATGCTAAACTTGTTAAGAAATGTAATTAAAAATGTGATGTCGCTCCAGAGCAGCTAATATTGCATCCCTCTAAATAATATAATAATCGAAAAAATGTTGAATGTAATTAAAATGTGATGTCATCCCAGAGCAGCTAACATTGCATCTAATAATATAATATCTGAATAATATAATAATCGATTGACAAACATTACGTTCAACTGAAGTAGACTAGATATCCATGATTGTAGTGTATATAATTTAATTACTCAGATTAACAATAAACAAGTTACATAAGTCACGTTTGCTGGCCGTTTGTTGGCCGTTTGTGTGACGCAAACCGATTCATCTTTTCTCTACATATTTAAACATGGTTGACATTTGATAAATTACAAAATCATGTATAATTAAACTGGTATACAAAACACATGCCACTTAATCTAAGCGTAAAGCCCCTTCTATCCGTGTAACGTTACAAATATTATGTAACATATGTCACGTAATTCAACAAGGTGCATCATGTATTGGTCAAATGTGAATACATTTCACACAAGTGTTAATCCTGCTACCATCATTTCAATGTTGCTTGCCCTATCTCTCATTCTGTCACGCGAAATTAGGTCTAATACTTCTTGGAGTCTCATATTGGTACTATGTATATATAAAAATCTCCACTACGATAGACACTTTGTCTGGGAAATATGTAACAAAGTATTCAGAGGATAAAAACAAGCACAGTGATAGAGCGCAAAACATTGCTCCAAGGCAGTAATGCTGAAGGCAGATTCTAGACTCGTTTTGAATTAGGTTGATTTCCAGGGTTTACATGAATATAGCCGATATAGATTCCCACACGGTGGCAGAGATAAATACACTTGGATAGGCCATTGCTAAGATTAAACACCAATTACGAAACTTACGTTCATCTGTACAAAGAATGCATTTTCATCTTTAGTTAGCTCAATGTCTTGAATTTGTCATGTAATATATATATATATATATATGTACCACAAGTGTAGTGCCCTAAACTGTATAACATATAGAGGATGTACTCTTCCTGTAAACAAGATACTACATGACTCTTTGTTGTGCCATGATTACCCATGATTGGAAAATATGCACCAATACCTTGACAATTGCAGCCATCTGCAATTGCAATTTCGTTCCCCAATTACACTCCGAACGTGATCGCTACGTTGGAGTTGTTTGCTGTTTCTCTCATCGCTCGCACCCCCCACGACTCGTGTCGGAAGTGACACGCTCACGCGCATCACGATAACAGCCATGAGCTAGTCGTTGGCTGGCGCGCTCGCGATCGTAAATTCACGGGGACCTCGCCGTCTCACGCGAAGCAGCGCCTACAGAGATGATTTTCTAGTGTGCGAATCTAGCGATCTGCGCCGGCCAAACCCACGCGGGATCCCGTAGAATCGTCACAATCGTGCTCGATCCTTGCCTCCCCCTCATCGATCGCCATCTCATCATCCACCGAGTACGGCACACGGACGCCCCGTGCCTGCACCCCTCCACGCCCCACCACGCCCTCATCCGGCGTACAGCTCCGACTGTCTGCACACGGCGTGGTAGGCGTTCCTGATGAGCGCGTACGGGAAGCAGGACTCGAGCAGGTCCATCGTGAGGAAGGCCGACTCCTTGACGACCTCGTCTAGCAGAAGGTAGACGGACTCGCGGTTGCGCACCACCTCCTTGTCCGTCTCGTAGCCGAGCTTGAGCAGGCTGGACGACGCCAGCGCCAGGAACTCCTTCAACCTGTAGCGACACGAGCAAGGGAACGATCGAGAATGTGCCGAGCAATGTTACGCGAGCGTTATCAAGTACAAACCCAACAAAACCTGATAGGACTCTCGACTCGCTCGCTCAGAATATCACTCTATAATCTCCCAGCAATAAAAACGTTGCGCTTTCCCGCCTATCAGCTAGCCATGTACGTGACCAGAAAAACCATTGGATCATATAAACCTGCCAGTGTGTATAATTTTACATAGCATTGTAGGGACGTAGCTTGTATGTTATAATTTATAGTATAAATAATCAAGAAGACATAATATAGAATTTGTGTTCAATTAAAGAAATATATTGTTTACAAACATAACAGTCACCATCTCGTCGTCCCGTCCTGTCCTGTTCCCAACCGTCAGTTCCAACCGTCCCAACCGTCAGTTCCAACCCTTCTTCAAAATCCTCTAAAGTCTTATATATCACTCTCTTATCCAATCACTGTCCAGCTCTACTCTACCCTAGCCAATCACACACACTAACACTCTGCTATTCAAATGAGAGCGCACGAAAACCACATCTGACCCGCAGATGTGTAACTCGTCCGCTAGTCCCAACCTAGCTATTTCTCATCTATATGCTAAACGCCCAACCCTGCTTCTATGTACAACTAAATCTATCTACAATTACTAATGCAATGAACATGTGCAAAACACATGTTACAGCATGGTTCATACATACATAAGTAACATAACACGGCAAGTGTGCGGAGCGGAACAATCGCCGCATAGTGTCAACGGTAAACGCGTTTGAAACATTCGACCCAAACGTTTCACTTTGTAGTCTAAAAGCTTTGAATGAACGTATTCCTGAGCAATTTTTTTTCACCTATTGCACATATATAGGCAAGTAGAAGCGTGCAATGTTAAAATAATTCATTTTTGCTTGATTATATGTTTACCGCTTGAAAGTTTGAGGGAATATCCATTTAAGGTCATAAAGGGGCCCCCCATATTTGAATACACATTTTTATCAGCACTGCTGGAATTATTTAAGCAACCGAGAGATGTTACGTATGACTGCTCTGTGCAGAATTATCAAGTGTTGCATTTATTTGCAGTAGACAAGAGGAACAAGCTGGGGAGCTATGCAGACTGGGACAATGAGATGGCCTATAGGACTGAACTTGCCTCCCATAGTGAACCCATGATGAATGTAGAAGCCAAGTCGCATCGCGCCGACTGGCTGAGTAAGTCACTCTTAACCGTATTTCTCAATCTCGATCTCAGTCTGGATCTCGTTGGGATGGCCCAATCGAATGTGACGGTGAGGGGGACCAGACTATGGAACATCCCCTGGAGCTTCCCCCATATTACCAGAGCCCTGCAGCCCTGGAGACTTTTAGGCTTTCAACCACCGTGCCAAGTCCTGTGTGCTGCAGTGACTAGGCCGAGTGTAAAGTATTCAATGTAGTCACATAGACACATCAAAAAGATGGAATTAGAAGAAAAAATCGAGCGGAAATAGAAACACGTGATGGATATATCAGTTGAACAACTTGGGAGACAAGGATTTACTTTAACTTAATAGACTTTGGTCAGGTTCAATATTGGCTTGCGAATCATGGCCCCCCCCCCCATTTGTTCTTGACGTCCTAGCAAGTAGTATAAAACTCGGGGAACTATTTTGAGTAAATCTCGGTAGAAGTTGGCTAATGAATCGACAAGTCGACGATTAAACGCTTGAATAGTATATCTCATATCTCGCAGGGGTGTGTAAGGATTTAGGACCAAGGGGGGTGGGGGTCTAACGTAAGCTAAACCTTGCAAGCAGCCGCGAAGTGGGGGTCTGGGGCCTCCACCGAAATTTTGTTGGAGAGTTAGGACCCCTTCAGATGCGTTTATCTGCGCGGAGCAGGGGGGGGGCGACCCTCTGGAGCCCCCCCCCCCCCCCCTGTGTACACGCGCCCCTGATCTCCCAATTAGTTCTTACCTCGTTATAACCGAAATGTGCCAGTGAAGCAACATTTATTGTATTATAATTAAATGGTTGATTATATCACAAATTTCTTATAGTTCCTTAAAAACTTGGTGCGCCAGACGATCATGTTTATGCTGGCAAACAGTGTTATTGCGTTCTAACAGAATACCACATAACTGAGGAACTCTGGCTTTAATTTTGTATACCCAATAAATCGAATAAATTTATTCTTTCGTCACCTACTTAACTTAATTAACAGGGGTGCGACACAGCCATTCCATGATAACCTTCTCGTTTTGTTCCAAATCCTTAATACATGGTCACATCATAACACATTTCCTCACCGACACGTACAATATGCACATACTCAACAGTATACAATTTGTGCAACCTACCCTTCTTGCACCGCTCTGTTATATTATCATACATACACCATTTTGCCTGGATTTGGGACATGCCGCATGCTCTGGAAATGCAGACCACAAAAGGAGCTACTACAATTATCGTTTTTCCGCCAATTCGCAATTTCTATACTACAGCCGCGCTAGACGAAATCCGTGATGTCATCCACGTCACCACATAGGAATGAAATGTTGGCTTCCCCCGCAAAAACAATAAAGTGTGATCAAGTCCTCATATAAGTTCTACAGCGACGCATTCACACATACATTCCACCCCACACCGGATTACAATATATCTGCATCCGAAAATTAACGATTGTAAAAGAAAGCCGACGCAATAATTATCGCTAATATATTTTAATCAACATGTATAGCGGATAAAGATACAAGTTATAGTGTTGATTAGCAAAGGCATAATAGGCACTGATGGCCGATAAAGATGACGACCGAGACCATGGAAAAACGGCAAGGGTTATGCCATGATATGATTCGAAAGCGGACATTTCAAGGTACAGAATCAAAAGGTAGCCAATTCAGTGTTAAATGGAACCATATACCTTCCTCTCTAGAAATGTCTACAAATGGTCTAGAAGAGACGGCAGTCCAGAGTGACATAATTAAAGGCACGTGAAAGAGAGGGGGAAGAGAGATCAAAGAGAAAGAGTGTGTAATGTGAGAAGATAGAGAGATAAAGACTCAGATGGGGAGAGGCGACCAATGACAAGCTCAACATAAGCGGAGAAAACAGTAATGAACCTATTTTAAACGATATAAAGACATTTAAAAGACATTTCCAAAATCCATAAACCACTTAGTTGCATGGGTCCATTCTAATTTCTAGTGATAAAGCCTTGCTCTTAACATTCTATTGGGGCTGCACACAGAAACTTCTACCATGCAGGAATCTGCTCTATTTAATGTCTCACTCAGACAAGATAGCATCAAGGGGATCAGTAAAAATTATTTCAAGCATTGCATTCGCGCGAAGTTAGAATTTGTTAAGATAGATCAGTATTGTAGGGTTGATATTTCATCTACTTGCATATATGTGAAAATCATGGTAACAACAACTGCGCAAAATAGTCCATGTATCCCATTTAACTTCAGACAAACATTGAGGCACAACTTATACCCCGGGCGAAGTTTCTCTGCGCTTAGTTTAGCTGTAGTTGTCTGAAAATTAAGTCATAACAGAATTCTTTGTAAACATTACTCCCCATATTAACCGCAAAATACTTCCGTCAACTCATCAGCTGTACTTGTGCACACTGGCAGTCTCCAATGGGTATCGCCTTGATTTAAGTTATATGGGGGGATACTTGCCCCGTCTAGCAGGAATTTTGTTTTTTCTAGATTATTGCTGTAGGTTTGTGTCTCAATTAAGGCGTCCGTTAGCAAATCACAATATTTGGGTGTTATTTTTCTAGTACTACGGCCCAAATCATGATACCACGCCGCGCACAATCGGCTGTTGCCCTTATAATCTTCTTTCCTTCAGTTTATTGGCAGAGCGGCCTGCTTCACAGTCGGGTTGAATCCAAATAAGGTCTTTGCCATCGCTTACAACTTCTTGCATGCGCTCCATGTCTCCGTTAATGCTCAATGACTGCAGAAAACATGTTTAAGGGCTATTACGTCACACGTTAAATAGTAAAAAAATAAAAAATAAATATATCAACTATTTTCACAAAATATAACTGTAATTTTGCTTCACTTTTTATGGTTAACATTACTTCCTTTACGTATTATTCAGTAAATACTTCCCCCGACTTACATAGCATAGCAACTATGAAGACATACAATCGTCCACTCGCTTGATTTCTCATACTAGTCCGATACAACAATCTACATGAAGACTTAATCCCCCGTCACGTTTTTCCGGATTCTTCACTTAAGTGTAAAAATGGCAAACAAACAATTTTTACAAATTTTACCATAGAAAATTCTGTGACGTAAGTTATATTAAGTCTTAAAGAAATAAATGACTTACATCGACCGCTTTAGCCGCTATGCTTAGAACTTTTTAATGGCTGTCTTCCATCTTGTGTGCATCAAGTGTCTGTTCATCTATTGATTTGCAGATTCCATGTTATCCACCTCTCTGCCATCTACTCGTCAATACGTCTGTTCCACCTGTCCTCTCCCATCCGTTTGCATACTGTCAGTCTGGTGTCAATCCATCTGGTACTCTCTTCTTCTCTCTCTATCTCTCTCTCTCTCTCTCTCTCTCTCTCTCTCTCTCTCTCTTCTCTCTCTCTCTCCTCTCTCTCTCTCTCTGCTCTCTCTCTCTCTCTCTCTCTTCGTCGTCTCTCTCTCGTCTCTCTCTCTGCTCGCTCTCTCTCTCTCTCCTGCTGCTCTGCTCTCTCGTCTCTCTCTGCTCTCTCTCTCTCTCTCTCTCTCTCCTCTCCTCTCTCTCTCTGCTCTTCTCTCTCTCTCTCTCTCTATCTCTCTCTCTCGTCTCTCTCTCCTCTCTCTCTCTCTCTGCTCTCGTCTCTCTCTCTTCTCTCTCTCGTGCTCTCTCTCTCTCTGCTCTCCGTGCGGGCATCTCTCTCCTGCGCTCGCTCGCCTCCTCCTCCTTCTCTCTCGTCTTCTTCTACTCTCTCTCTCTCTCTCTCGTCTCTCTCTCCCTCGCTCGCGAGCGGTCGGAGTCGT